GCATCTCGCATCTTTTCTTCCGCTAGAGCCACCTCGTCCTCATCACGAACTATGGTTCAGGAGATGGTACTCAACATACGGTACTGCATAGACATCACAGTATGCTCGTATTACGGAATACGTAAGATAACGCAGAACTCGTCTAAGACCAGACTTTAGCGAAGCGCCTAAGCGATAATTTTATTTTATTACTTTTCACGCAAAGGTGCTATACAGAAGAAGTCACGTGATAAAGTAGTACGCATACCAGGCAGATGCGAATCTCACTGTTGCTCATTACTCCACCGAGCTGCGGTGATTAAAGTAATTACGTGGCGTTAACCGTGTTGATTAATTATGAAACAAAACATGGATTGGTCAGTTGTCAAAGTAAGTAAAACGCACAACTATTTTCAGTTTGGGGAAGTCCATCATTTGAAATATTTCATATGTACTGCTATCGAAACTATGACACGTCAACTGGTCATCTGAGGTCAAACATCACCAAGATTAAGGAACCCGAGGGAAACATGTTTACACCGCGTCCTTCCCCAAACAGCACCTAACAGACAACCGTCATCCTTGAGCAAAATTGGGACGGTTGGCAGTCATCGGTTTTCAGGGATCGATCACTAATTCGATTCCAGTTTTTGAGATAACCGAAATGGCCAAGCTAAAACTGGTTAAATTCATTGGTAATTTATTGAAGTGATGCTAAATGAAGTGCACAAAAAAATGTTTTGATCTCCGATGCAGGTTTCACAAGTTTCCTCGACCCGAGTTTCAGTAAAAGCTTGTCATTTATCTAGCGCACGGTCACATTACTGCGCACTTATCGACTCATGCAATCAGCGCTAGTAAAATACTGGACGTTAATCAAAAACTGAATGCAAATTCTGTCGCGAAAAACGAGGAAACAAGTTTCATCTAGCATGATCAGAACCGTGACAAACTTCTGCAGTATGTTATTAATCTACTGTTGATTTTATGCTGTGAGACAGCAGCAGTGCTGAGCATCTGCCAGAACACAACTGCACTTTCCTAAACATTGGTGAATTCCTTTCATATAAGTCTGTGTGACCAAGTCCACGCTGATTCATTCCAAAAACAATCGTACAGCAGATGGACTAGTAATTTGCTTTTCACTTTAGTGGTGCCAGGCAAAGGGCGTAAATTTTCTCCCATTGACTGCTGGTCCTCTCAAGCAGGGAATTCCCAGACTGCACCTAATGCAACGGGCTGAAAAACGGATATCCAAACGCTGACAGAAGAATAAGCGGGACGGCATGTAGTTCTGGTGTGTTAACGTAAAAGCTTGCGAGATATATGGCCAAGCTCTACGGATGCATTTCGTTTCGAGCTCCGCATGGTATAAAGAATGAATGAATCAATGATGAAACTAATAACCCTACTTGCGGTTTGACAAACGTTAACGTTCTCAATGGAAAATCGTCATATGAACATACGTCATAGTAAGAGTTTAATTATTACAATACAAAACAATTCAACGTTACTGTAATTTAATTGGCCACCATTTTTCCAGGGCTTTGGTTGGTTAAAAATGTGTTCCATGTTACGACATAGCAGCAAATCGATAAATTTCAGTACGAAATAGACAGGAGGCAGATCCACTTGAATGCTTGTTTCTTTTACCTGCCACCGCCTTTGATCACTGTTCGATAAATTGGGGCATTTTGTGGAAAGGTGAGATTTCGTTCCTAGGTAAGTCACACTGCGTAACAATTGTCATGGTACAAATTGATCTTCATGCAGTTATTCAAATGATTCCGGTATCCAATTGGACGAAATGATTGTATTTAAATTAAACAAGAATGAGATGGTCTCCCTGGATGCCACCGCCATCAGTAGTAGCGTCGATTTGAACGCATTACCGAATATTCTTCTCAGCCAACTGAGAAAAATCGGGCAAGAACTGAACCGTTTGAATCATTCATTTAGCAAGTTAGAACCAACAGACATAGTTTCCTTGATTGACACTGACATTACAATTGTTTACCTTAATTTCAACAGTATCACACACCGAGAGGAGTATTGCGATCCGACGGGCTCATCAGGTTGCTACTGGTGAAGCTAGCTGGAATTTAGATGAATCGGCTTGAAGCAAAAGCCGTGAGTCAGTCAGTTTCCATGACAGATGAGTCAGCTAGTGTCTCCGACGTTCTTGATTATGCATCAGCGCCTGATCTTCTTTAGAAGGAACCGTGAGTCTGGAGCAGAGTCCGTGTAAACTGCCCCAAATTATGTTTGACCTATCCCTGGATCTTCGGCAGAACGGTCGAGTGACTAGCAGCTGTTTCACCTTCTCCCTGTTGAAGCATTCGCAAAACGGACTCATACCATTGCAGCCATGAATGTTACATCTAGAAAAACTGCGGCTGCACACCAAGGCTTACCCAGAGTTCTGTGCCTCGGACTTTGTCGAGGTGACAGAGCAAAGCGATTCGTCTAAGAGAACCCTTTCACTCGCTTTTATTCGGGATCATAATTTTTCAGCTATGACCATTGATTCACGGCTATCGTTATGTAGCAGAATGAAAATCGACCTGGATACAGATCGCTTTGTTTTCAGACTCATGTCTGCATTAATCAAAAAGATTCAGGCTATCCGTTACCCGTTTCGACCTGACACACCCTCTGATCATCGAGGTGGAGCGGCATCACCAAAGAAAGTCAGTTATGGACTAAACAGGCGCGTCAGAGAAGCATTATTCATACAGTCAGTCCTGCGAAAAGTCAAAACGGACAAAGGATACGAACTCTTCACAAATCGAATGCGCTTTGTCACCCCGCCGTGGCCAACGAAATTAAGCAGCAGCGCAGACCAGAAGCGCGCCATCTGGCTCCACAAGTACGAATTGCTGCAGACAACAAGAATGACTTCTAAAGTCGCCCATCTTGAAAAAATCAAGAGATGGGGAAGGGTTGAAACGTCTGTACAATTCAATTATCCAACTGACCAGACTGTTTGTATTCTGGATAAATAAGCGCGTTTTGTGCTGTTTTCGGTCCTTTATAATGTGTTAATTTCTGATTCAGTACAGTGCGCTATTTGCCCTACTCTGATTTCTATTCATACCATATTTTGATGATGAACACTGTGGCATGTTCGAAACATCGGCCAAAGTAAAATTTATTCGTTTCGATGTTTTGCATTTAACCATTGGATCAGAGGCCCTATTGATTCAGAGAATTCGTACTTCAAAGTTGGCACTGAGTCAGATATGAGTTTCAGAAAAATTTCAACACTTTTGCATTCCATTCTACCCTGCATTCTCCTCGTTGGCGCATCGTCTGTTGTCAAGCTGTTGATTCGTTTAAAAACTCCGTTAGCGAAGGCACTACGATAGACTGCGCTGGTAAAGCTACTGAACTCCCTCTTTGCGTTTATGAATGAACGCGTCTTTCCATTGGTACAGGTACAGTATCCCCAATCCAAAATTCCAAAATTCGAAATTTTCCGAAATCAGCAACATTGTATTAACTCGCTTCTCACTCCTGAGTTTTTTGATATATCCTTGAATAATATGAACAACTGCCGTAACACCCTTTCCGTCCTTCTTCCCCTCAACCTTCCATCGGCAGTCACATCTTTCGATGTCCGGCCTATCAGATAAGAGCCTCCCTCCGTCACTTACGAGGACCGGATGGTCAAACGTTATTGGAAGTTCTTTACGTCTCATCCGTGAACACTTGGTCACTACTCATTTTGTCTGCAGGATATAAAGGGAAAATACGTCGAACACACCCTATTTTCATGCTTGAATTTTATCACTGAAAACCCACTAACTCCGGGCTTCCGCTCCCTCTTCCTTTCCCTTCCTCAACCTCCCTCCTTCCAGCCTGTGTAAGCTGTATGAAATTTTCTTTCTGTATTTGATGACGTTGTACTGCAATGAAACCCGGGTCGTTTCAATTTGTGGAATAACTGAACTTGTTATTTTTGCGATTTGCAAGGAGGTCCTACGTCACTTTCTAGAACATCCGTAACTTCATTCTCACAACAGGCAGCCCTTTGGAAACGAGAACTCCCTGTTCTGAGCCATAAATATTTTATTCAAAGGAGGTAGGTCCGTTATTCTGTGGTGCGTTCAAGTGGAGAATTTGAGTGAGAAAGCGTGTTAAATGGTTTTAATAGCTTTTATTTGGAAATTTTCGTGACCGGTTATGAATTTTGTCATCGATTCTCGTTTCCGTATGGGCACGCTTCCATTGAAAGGGAGAAAGTTTTCATGACAATCCCGTTTCTTAACACGGCTGTGTCATGGGTATGCAGTAAACCGTCAAACATTGTCAGTGCGAGGCATCGCTGACTACCGTGCTAATTTTTCTGAAGAATGAATTTTTTCTCAATTCTCTTCAATTCCACCATATCATGTATTTTAAAATCCGAAAAAATCCAAAATCCAAAACAACTTTGGCCCAAAGTCCCATTTCGGAGTAAGGAACTCAACCTGTACCACCAACGTCAGATATGTGTCGATGAGTGATCCAGCGGTATTACAACCCTGTACAAAAATCGACCTACTCGTCTACGAAAAGAATCATTTACCTAGAAGTTAATTACGAATGTTTTTAGCAGAGGAAAAACAGACTAAATATTTCAGGTTTCGAGACAGCCATTTCAATTCGACGTTTGCGTCCCGCCGTCCCGCACGACCATAAACAAGCAGCAGCAATAGTCGTATGAAATACATTCGATACCCATCTGCTTATCCGTTGATCGGCACTTATATGGAATAACACCATAAAAACTGGCTCTTCGAAAGTTCTTCTTTTCGGCTAAGCATACCCATGGTTTCACGCATTCGCCAAACTGGATTAACTGTCATTTCTACGCCTACAAGCATCCGTATTTCAGCCGAATGAAAAATAGTACAGAAGCGATGCCGATTGTCGAAGAAGTCGCAGATTTAGGTTAGGCGACTTTATTTAAGATATTTCGTTGGCCAGGCCGTACTCTTTCACTGTACTGGACTGATCACCAACGCTGCACCGCGGAAATGTATCAACTACGGCTCGTGCTGTTCACCCTGATCATAGCAGCTTGCTATGCCGAGCAAGACTGTAAAGCCGAAATGAAAACTTTCCATGGATGCTTTAAAGAGACCATGAAGAAAGTGCTGCTGGATAAAGCTGGTTGGACTGAGCTGAAAGATAAAGTGATCAAGTGCTTTACAGAGTAAGATGAATTGAAGTACTTTTTACGGTCGGCTGTCCTTTGTCGCCTCGTGCCGCGTCGCGTGGCTGTCATCTCGACTCTTCAGCTCGATTGTGAGTCTGCAGCAGGAGAAAGCCTGAGTTCAATAAACGTTCCTTAACGTCTGACAACAAAGACAGCACACCGTTTCTTAAAAGCCACCGTACACTGCAAGATGCTAATATTGTAATAGGTACACCAGAATCAGCCACAGGTGAAAAAGAAAGACAGTTGTTGGAGTTCCGTGTAACGGAACAAACGCTTCTATTCCTTTAGACCCAGTTAAGAGCCATAACATGATAACGCATGCCGGTTCATGCACCATTCATAAATTGCCCCGACTCTGACTTTGAGGTGAAACAACCGGATGTTCTGGAGATATCGATGTCTTTTACTCACATAAATACCCTGTAGAAAAATATGCGCATATATGTAGGTACATATTTGGACTATGGTTCACATAACTGCGCAGTCTGATGTCCAGAGTCTCTTCAGACGGCCATTTTTTTCTCTTCTCCTTCAATCGTATTTCCAGTGTGATACCTGAAATTCAGACTTAAGATCAGGCCGACAAAGCCAGTCTAAAACGCAGTTAGTAAGGTACGTCTGTTAATGACGGTGTACGGTTAATAATCAACTTGAATATCATTGTCACATTTCTATGGTGTCTGTACGAAAAGTCATCAGAAGTAAAAGCAGATACGTTGATTACTTTACCGTCAAGGTAGAACTTGATTAGCACGAATTTTATATACAGCTCATATAACGTTTACTAGAGAATAGGAAGAAAATGGAAAAAAATCAGTCTCACGTCTAGAATTTAAGACGATATTGAACTTGTCACTTCTTTTGACAACTCTAAGCAAGGGCAAAACAACGTATGTATTCAGCGAAATCATAATCCTAATATTCTGAATCATCCTGATGTCATAATCGCGGTTTCAGTCTGGCAAGTAAATAAGTGTCGCACTGTTTAAGCACTATTCTCCTTCCCAGATAGTCATAATGAGCCGTTATCATCAAAAGCAAAAGCTGGCTGAACGGACGTGCATACGTCAAGCAGGCATTAATCCAATCCTGCTGCAAAATTAATCGTGGCAAAAATACAAATTACGTGAGGATTCGATGACCCTTGTCACCCCTGTCGCCAAGCAACTACTTAACAGCCAGCACAGATTAAAAGCTCGCCTTCTGGCTGCAAATGTACCAACCACTGCGAACGACCAAAAGGACATCGAAATTCAACCAACCTCTTCACCTTAAAGAAAGCCTATGAGGTACGAGCTGAAACATTAGTATTGATGCGTCATAAGACTAACCGCACGGTATGCGTGTTAATAAATAAACCGTGTTTTATGCTGTTTTTAGTATGACCATCAACGCACTAACGAAACGCTGAATGTTCGGTTATAGAAAATACTCCATTTTCGTTACTGATTAAAGATCTGGTGTTTTAGTGCTCTTGGTAATACATTTTTAGCAATGGATGTGATGCGCCGTCGAAGGATTTCGCCCTTGGACATTTGTTCGAAGGTGCGAAAGCCAAGTTGGAAAGTCTCAAGAAATGCCTCGTGAAATCCGGCACGACTTTCAAGGGCAAGGTCGAAGAATGCGTCAAAAAGGACATTCCAGAATTCCACATAGATTCAGAAGACATGAAAAAATTCCGCCACGGACTGTTCTCAACCGAACATCTGTAAGTCACATGTGTTTGTTATTTCCAGTTTCAGCTTTATTAGCCTCAGTCAGAAATAGAACACAAGTATAATAAAAAAACAATTTATCAGCGTGCAAAACGATTTCCATTAACGCAGGAAAGTCTGCTTTCAATTTAAATAAATCAAAATTAGAACTGCAGTTACATTCTGAGCTAAATTTCGAACGCAACTGACCAAAGCTACCCTTGAATTCCACCGACGAACATGAATACAATACTGTACAATATTAATGACGCTGAGCAGCATTTGATTCATATATTAATATTTACTCCAGGTTTATGATTAAAACTCATACGCTAAATTAAAAGTTCTTCATAATTAACTGACACTTCGGTAATCGCTGCATTATTTGTTAATAGAGCCTAGTTATCCAAAGCTTCATAATTTTAATTTCCCAAAAAAATTTGGAATGAGTTCAATGGTCACCAGAAATCAAGTGCCAATTGACAGCGCAGCAATGCTTGAATTTTGTTCCACGTGAAACTACGGCAAATGTTCTGCATTTCCTGTAATCATTCTTTAAGGTATAGAATTGCTGTGATATGATAGTCATACGGATTTATTGTGACGTGGTCTCCATGTGACCAAATAGGACAGCGGTTTATTTTTGCGGGTGCTGGACCAAATACTGCTGACACGCAACTAATAAACCTCACAGATTCCCTTTCGTTGGGTTAATTGCAGAAGCTAAATAATCAATAGTCAAGAAGCAGAAGAATAGATCGTTAGATCAAAAGTTACTGTTTAACTGACCAACTTTTCAACGGGTAATATTAAATTAATCCTTCATTTCTAGTACCTGATTTACACGGCGAAACCTGTGAGGTAAAGTTACTCGCTTTACAGCGATACCGTGGTAGCATAAGGCGGGTGGTAGTTGCAACGCCAGGTTGTACAGCAGTAGCTCTCCGTCCCTTGCTTCAAGTCGCCCATGGGGACCATTTAAACAGATCACGGTTCAACAGAGTGTTAGCGCCTGCAGTGCATAGGAAGTAGGACCCGTTACTGAATTGGGCCAAAACAAGAGCCTGTTGGAGCCAGTTTGCCATATTTGCCAGTTTTCATCGATTTGCTGCATCTTTTGCCAACGGATTGTAGATATACCGTTATCCTGATACACTCAAACACGAAATCTTCTCCAGCTTCCCAACAAAACAATTAGAAAAGCCTTGGGCACTTTTAGAGTGACTTTCACGGTGGACTGATCAGCAGCTAATGCTAACCTTTAACGAAAGCGCACGTTGTAGGTCAGCTACAGGGAGCGTGATGGGGTATGTTGCGTTCCGTTAATCGCTTAAAGCAATGTATCCTTGAAGACTTGTCAGTTTCCTTAAATAACTAGCAAGGTGTGAGGTCTTAACGAGCATTGAACTACCATCGAATAACCAAAACCATAAACGAATAGAAGTCCACTGATAAGATTACTTGACAACCGAATTGGTTGTCATGTACGAACAGCCAGGAACGAATTGGAACGGGGAATCACAAGATGGACACTCATAGCCAAGTCACACTACAGGGGTTATAGGATTGACCAAAAATAGAGACGGTTAATGTATCTGTAGCAAATTGTATTGTAGAGCCCTTGAATGCGACTGTCTGAGCTTACTCATTTGGCTGACAGTAGATAAATGTCTCACAAAGACGATCTGATAAGAATAATGGGCGACAAACGAGCATGGATAGATCATGGAAGAACAAGTCTATCTTAAAGGAAGACTGGTGTAATACAAATTCGTTCAAAATTGTATATTTAATTATTACAAATTTTTTCACGCAAGTTTATTGCTAATATAAATGCAAATACATGCCATTTGGCCATCAGCTGTTTACTATAATAACGTACTGCAGAAATGAAATAGGAATAATGAATTTATAAAATAACCAACTGTCATTTATTAAAGGCACAGCGTGATCAAGGTGCTCATCGTTGCAATCGCTCCAGAACACTGTGCCAAGGAAAACAGGGGAAAAGTCGAAGCATGCTTGGGCGAATCCTTCAAGAACAAAGGTCCTCTGCAGGAAAAAGTGGATGAAGTTTGCAAAGGTCACAAAGAATGTCACGAAAAGTAGGCATGCTGAACCCGTGATCTGATCGCTACAGTTGTGCACGCATTTTCAATGGTTTCGTTTAGACTGTCCAGCGGATGCAAAGAAGAACTGAAGCACCTCAGCGATTCCCTGAGCAAGTGCAGCTGCAAAGGCGGAGTGGACACCGCAGCGATTCAGAACGAGTTGAAGACGTGTTTGCAGGGGTCGTTCACCGAGGAAGAATCGAAAGACTTCATGAAGTTGCTCAACGATTTCTATAAGTACATGTGCGAGAAAGCAGAAGTGGTTGCTAAGTGCGTCAGTTAGACATAGCTCGTCTTTATACTAATATATTTACGCTGCTTTGCTAGAGTTTTCACGTTGACAGCATTAATGATTCGTCGCTAAAGTAAAGATTTATTTCGCTGATGATAGCATGTTTGAATTTTTCACGAATGAAGCTAGACTGCAACACAAACGCTGAAAATGATTATAAATCTTTAATGCATAATCAAAACATCATCATGTACTGATATTCATGCTAATGTCCATATATCTCATGAAATCCGATCCAAAATCCTCGCCAGAAGTTCCACTCTCGGTACATAGACAGCATTTCCTTGTAACGCCACTCGACAACTTCAACGGCCTCTGAGAGTACCGTCTTTCATACTTCATCTCCAGTATAGTCTTTCATACATTTCGTCGCACTGTGTGCTCTAAACACACAGGTTCATTCTCGACGCTTGCTTCACCTCTTTTATAATTCCTGTTTTCTTGTCTTCCCCATTCCCGAACGGTATATTTCGCCTTGTAATATCTGAAATCCATCTATCATTAATCGTTTCGACCGCACCGCTATATTCATATCGCGTGTCAGAATCACTCACGCGAAGACAATCACTTGTACTTCCAATCAGCAACGTTAAAATCTTACTATCAGGCCAATAACTTTCTGCCGGCCTCTTTATTTTGACATATACGTCAAGTCAATGACCTTCGCGCAACAACAGTCCCAATTATTTAAAATTTCTAAAATTCGAGAGCAGCAGAATCAAACTTAAATGTTCATCTCAGTATGAAAGACTCACAATTAACTCAATATCTCTGACCTTATCTTCTCTTTGTATATCTCGAGATGGACTAGACTTTACGACGAACAGTAATAAGCTACAATTAGCTCAGTTACTCAAAGCTACCGCACTACAGATTTATTCACCTGGATCAGTCGGACGTAGCCAGGAATTTGCGATCAACCGTGCTCGCTATTTTTCGCGGTTTCAAGCCATCCTATTGCCCGCAAGAATGGCCTTCCTAGCTCATGAATAACCTCCCAACCGTCGTGACCGGCGACGAAGCGGCTTGGTCGACCAGCGAGAGTGTCCGTCGACGGTCGTCGGCGACCACCTCCCGCTTTAAGCCGAGCTACGCACCCGGTCCACCGTAGCTTCTTCCTTGTGCTTGCGACGACGACGTGCTTCACTCCGGTCCGCGGTCTGATCGCCGTGCTGACGACGTGAAAACTGGAGTCTGCCTGGCCAAAGAAACAGTACGGTCAGAAAAGTGGTACAACAAATAATTCAGAAAAGTAACGAATGTTAGCTTCATCTTTGCCTGGGGTTCGCCATTTACGGAACAGCACTCGAGTCAGTCAACCCCGGTTTGTACTGATCTCCTGAGGAGCCAGCAAATCGAGAAAAGACAGAGTGACCTGAGAGCAGGCAGGCACAAGATCGCAACCACTAGCGTGAAAATCAACGAAAGCGAGCTTTTGACAGGAAGACGCAATATCGTCGAAATTATGCACAGCAGCCCTGAGAAAGGGTTTCTCGACGCTCTGTTTGAAAAAGCAGCGGCTTAATTTAAATGAGCAATAATGAATACATCTGACGTGCCTGGACAAAATTCTGACCATCTCACGGTCACCAGAAGAACTTCAAAAAAAGATCCCAACAGCCATACGATTCCAGTCTTGGAGTGGTACTGTAAACGAACTTGAGGAAGAGTTTGGTCGTTCTTAACAAATACGTGACCACACATCGTTGAAATCAACGCTCTTGGGCATGAAAAAGCGTAAAGCTACCTCTGTTTGGCGCACATCATCGTTTCAGTGGCGAATCGACTACGTGGAGTCAGCAGAAAAAAACGACACGGCACACTTAAAATATTGTAAATGTTCGTATCCCGGAAACTGCACCGGTACTTGAAACAGAAGGCCTTCGATCAGTGAATGTGTGTTTTCGGTGTCAACGCACGGATACTATAGTCCAGGCTTCAAGAAACAAGTGAGTTGCAATGGCCGCTGAACTACAAGGAGGAACCTCGGTTCAAAACACTCTCACTGAACATATTCATAATAACTTTAACTGAATCATTCACTCAAATTGGTTAATTATAGGTTAACTGTAATTTTAATTGGTTAATTAATAATTTAGTCATTGAAAACAATTGAAAGAGGCAGGCGATATCTGAACAGTTCAAGATTTGCTTTAGAACTG